TATTTTAAAGACAAACAATCCAGACATACTGAACCTGATAGAGAAAGTGGGGAGCAGCCTTGAATTCATTGGCACAGGAGACAACTTTGTGACCATAACACCAATAGTGCAGGCACTAAGATCAATAATTAATGGGACCTCATGACACTAAAAAGCTTCTATAAGGCAACGGACACCATCATTCGGACAAAGAGGGAGCCAACAGAATGAGAGAAGATTTTTATAAACTTTACGTCTGATAAAGGTCTAATATCCAAAATATATAAAGAACTCAAGAAACTAGATATTTAAAAAGAAATCAAATAATCCAATTAAAATGGAGTACAGCTCTAAATAGAATTCTCAATAGAGGAATCGCAAATGGCTGAGAAACACTTAAAAAGAAATGTTTAATACCCTTAGCCTTCAAGGAAATGCAAATCAAAACTACATTTCAGGCTGGGCGGCGGCGGCGGCGGTGCACGCCTTTAATCCCAGCACTCGGGGAGGCAGAGGCAGGCGGATGTCTGTGAGTTCGAGGCCAGCCTGGTCTACAGAGTGAGTTCCAGGACAGGCTCCAAAACTACAGAGAAACCTTGTCTCAAAAAGCCAAAAACAACAAACAAAACAAACAAACAAACAAAAACCCAAGAAAACAAACTGCATTTCAGATTTATCTTACACACCTGTCAGAATGGCTAAGATCAATACAAGTGACAGCCAATGCTGGTAAGGGTGTGGTACAAGGGGAACACTCCTCCATTGTTGGTGGGAGTGCAAACTTATACAGCCACTATGGAAATCAATATGGCATTTCCTTAGAAAATTGGGAATTGATCTACCTCAAGACCATCTATATCATTCTTTGACATATACCCAAACAACACTCCATCCTACCACAAGGACTCAACTGCCAGAAACTGGAAACAATCTAGATGTCCTTCAACTGAAGACTGGATAAGAAAATGAGATACATTTACACAATGGAGTGGTGGTTTGGGGGTGGTGTGGGGGGCATCATGAAATTTACAGGCAAACGGATGCAACTAGAAAAAAATCCTAGTGAGGTAGCCCAGACCCAGAATATATGATATATATCACTTTTTTTTTTTTTTTTTTTTTTTTTTTGGTTTTTCGAGACAGGGTTTCTCTGTGTAGCTTTGCGCCTTTCCTGGAACTCACTTGGTAGCCCAGGCTGGCCTCGAACTCACAGAGATCCGCCTGCCTCTGCCTCCCGAGTGCTGGGATTAAAGGCGTGCGCCACCAACGCCCGGCTGATATATATCACTTTTTATAAGTGGATATTAACTGTTAGGTAGATGATAACCAAGCTATAATCCACAGATCCAGACAGGTAAAGAGGATGGCTATAGGGTGAAGCATGGATCTCCTTGGGAAGAGGAAATAGAATAGATTCTATAGGTGGACTTGAGGTGGGAGTGGGAGGGACAGCTGGATTTGGGAGACTCTTGGAGGGTGGTGTGGAAACCTAGTCTTGTAGCAAGTCTTTCTTTGTACTGCCAGCTCCCAAATAATGACACAGAGACTTATTAATTATGGAAACTTGGCCTTAGCTTTGGTTTGTCCCACTAGCTCTTGTAACTAAAATTAACCCATTTATCTTAATCTGTGTTCTGTTGTGTGGCTTGTTACCTCATCTCTCCATAGTACTCATGCTGCTTTCTCTGCTCTTTTCTGAGTCCTTCCTGTCCCCAGAAGTCCTGCCTGACCCCTTCCTGCCTAGCTATTGGCCATTCAACTCTTTATTAAGCCAATCATAGTGGCACATCTTCACACAGTGTAAAGGAATGTTCTGCAACACTTCCTAAGATCTATGAAGATGATACTAGAGAGGACTCCTCATAATGGAGGATACAGAGTGTAAACTGGCCATCTTTTTTCCAGTGGTGGGACTAGGGTTACATTTGGTTGGGTTGTTGACTGAAGAAGTCCAGTGGAGATCTCTAAACAACCCTGGCTGATGCTAGGACAGAAGGTCACTCTCTGAAAACTGGAAGTAAAGCCCCATTGCCAAGGACAACTTCCACACAGCACATTGAGTATAGAGAGGTGAGGCTGATGGAGCCTTCACTCTTACGTTCTCTTCTGTGTGAGAAGGTACTTTGCAGGCTATAAAAAGAAATCTGGCCACCAACCCAACCACTAGAACCTTCACCTACAACCTGTCCTGCTTACAAAATGTCCTGAGGCCATGGTGGCATAGAACTTGGGGAATGGCCAATCAGTATTTGGTTTAACTTGAACTGGAAACTGGATAGCACAGAGACATAGACAGACGGTTAAAAAAAAAAAATCAATGAAGTGTTTCCTAATGATATTCTGATATACTCATAGATTGATGCCTTGTCCAGTTGTCATCAAAGAGGCTTCCTCCAGTAGCAAATGGGAGTGGGTGCAGAGACCCACAGCCAGACATTATTCTGAGGAGTCTAAATTGGAGATCTCCATTGGGTCCCTCCTCTTGGAGATTAAGGACCCCTGAGGAAGAGGGGGTGGAAAGACTTGTAGGAGTCAGAGGGGATGGAGGACACCAGGAGAACACAACCCACTAAATCAACTAAGCAGGGCTCCACTGGGCTCCCAGACTGAAACGACAAGCACAAGGCACGCATGGGTCAACACCAGGTCTTGTGCGTGTATGTTATGGCTGTTAGCTTGGTATTTTTGTGAGGTTCCTAACAGAGGGAATGGGTGTATCTCTGACTCTTTTGCATGCTCTTGAGACTCTTTTCCTCCTAATGGGTTGCTTTGTTCAGCCTTGATATGAGAGGGCTTTTGAGACCATCTTATATACATCCTAATCTTGAACTCTTCATCTTCTTGTCCCCACTTGCTGATTTCAGGAATTATAGGTAGTTTCAGTCTGGAGCCTCCAAAAAGATACTTTGGATAATATTGGGCTGGAGAAAAGACTCAGTAGTTGAGTTTGTACTGCTCTTGCAGAGGACCCAAGTTGAGTTCCCAGCAGCCCTGTGGGGTGGCTAACAAGCATCTGTCTGTACTCTGTGCACTTACCTACACATAGATGCACACATACATAATTAAAAATAAAAATATTTTAATGTATAGAGCAAGCTTCTGATTGGTTCCAAGCACAGACACTTGTGTCCCTTCAGTATTTTCTTATTCACATTCCTGGGAGCCACCTCATATTCTGACCATCTAGTCTGCAGTCTCTGGGCCAGTCTTTCTAAGTAATGAAAGCTTCATTACAATAAGCCTGATAGTAAATCACAAATTGATCTTTTACCTGTTCAGACTGGCTTCAGGAACCAAGGTTCAAACCCAGTGTCATGCATGCAGGCAAGCTCTTTCCCACTGAATTATATCCCCAAGCTTGTTGACCTGAGTTTGATCCCTTGGTGGAAGAAGAGAATGAACATCCAAAAGTTGGTCTCTGACCCTGTGCGTATGAACACACACATACACAAATGTTAAATATATATATATATATATATATATATATATATATATATATATATATGCATCAAACCTTGGCTTTTTAAATTTTCTCTGTTTCTGTTCTACTGCTTTCTGCTTTGTCAATCAGTTTAAACCCAGACACTGTGAAAGTAAAAAGGATTTTATTTGGAATCTCAAGATGGCAGTTCAGGAAACGTGGATATAGATGATTCTTAATCAGTATTCTGAGGATTTATTATATGGCAAAAAACGTTATTTAGTTGGGCTGTGATGGGGCATGTCTTTAATCCCAGTACTTGGGATGCAGAGGCAGGTGGATCTCAGAGTTCCAGGACAGCCAGGACTACACAGAGAAACCATGTCTCAAAAAAACAAACAAACAAACAAAAAAACTACGAAGAAACATTCTTCAGGGACACTTCTGAAATTAAGAACAGATACAGGGGTCATTTTGCCAGTGAAAACAAAAATGGCCAAGTAACTTCTAAATATTTAAGTTTCAAGGTCCAGTTTCCTTATCTATCACAGAGGCCTGGGTTCCAGGTTTCCCTGTGAACATCTGTTAAGAGTTCTGAAAAGCTAGTTAAATGTTTTATCATGATCAATTCTTTTTTTTTTCCCTAATTTGGCTTATTTTTGTTCGTTTTTATTTAATAACTTTTTTTCATTTATTTTACATACTGACCATAGTCTCCCCTCCCTCCTCTCCTCCCATTCCCCCCTCCTACCTACCCCCCTTCCCATTCACTCCTCCTTGCTCTTTTGTTCATATTTTATTATTTCCTTCAGTTTCTTGAAGGGTTTTTTGTTTTGTTTTGTTTTTTTGAGACAGGGTTTCTCTATGTACCTTTGGAGCCTTTCTTGGAACTCGATCTGTAAACCAGGCTGGTCTTGAACTCAAAGAGATCGGCCTGGCTCTGCCTCCCTAGTGCTAGGATTAAAGGCGTGCGCTGCCGCTGCTGCCGCCGCCGCCGCCGCCGCCGCCGCCACCACCACCACCGCCACTGCCACCACCAGCACCACCTGGCTTCTTTAAGGTTTTGTTGTGGGTTTTTAAAGACGGGATGGGGCTGGCCTTGAACTAGACCCTTTTGCCCCATCCTTCCAAATAGCTGGGGTTACAGGCATGTACTACCACAACTAACATAAATTTTTGCCTTTTTCTTTAAACTTTGTAGCTATATCCCTCTATGCGCTGTGTGTATGTGTGGGGGTAGGTGTGCTTGGGGTTTTGATTGTCGCCTAATGTGCACACTAGGCAAGTCATCTGCTGCTGAGCGGCATGCAGCCCCAACCCCTCTTTGCATTTTGCTCTAGGGATTACAACATTTAATACATACTCAGTTTTCAGAAACCTGTCCCACATATTTATTTATGGAATGGAAGGGGGACACATACCACAGCACACTTAGGAGGTCAGAAGATAACTTTTAGGAGCTATTTTACTCTTTTATCATTTGAGTTTGGGAACTCAAGTTTAACTTGTCTAGCATGACAGCAGTGCCCTTATCCACTGAGCATCTTGCTGGCCAGGGTTTTGAATTTTTCTCCATATTTTCCTTTATCTTCTCTTGTAGATTAATCTAACATGGCTGACCAGAGGCAGCGCTCACTCTCTACCTCCGGGGAATCATTATATCATGTTCTTGGGCTGGACAAGAATGCAACCTCGGATGACATTAAAAAGTCCTATCGGTAAGCAACTGTGTTCCAAGGAAAAACATAAATCCTCATCTGATTTCTTGTATATTTTACTAAGAACCATGGCATTTCTTGGCAGACTCTTTTAACAGTTTCATTTCATCATTACATGTATAGTTTAATCCTAAGACTTAAAAATTACACTGGCCGTTCGTGGTGGTGCATGCCTTTAATCCTAGCACTTGGGAAGCAGAGGCAAAAGGGTATCTGTGTTTTGAGGCCCGCCTGGTCTACATATTGAGTTCCAGGACAACCAGAGCTATTTAGAGAGGCCCTTTCTCAAACAAACAAAACCCTGTTACACTGATGTTCTCTAGTGGCAAAAAAGTAAATACACTTGGAAGATATTGCCAACTGTCCCCAGACCATGGAGTCAGGGTCTGTACCCTGGGCATAGACAGAACCTTTATAGTGCTGAATGTTGTACTTAACACAGTGATGAGGTCTTTTTTATCCTTTCATGACTGACTGGACTTGAAGAATGTAGCTTTTAAGTACAATATTATATAAGGTAACCTAGAAAGGGGGCAGGGGACTCTCCCTCAGATACTCCTGTGGTCCTCTACTTGTGTTGTACTAGAATGTCATTATTATGCACTTCTGCCATCACCTTATTAGTCAGATATGTAGTTAGCTGGCCAGGACACTGGGGGTTGGCAGTAGGATTTCCCTTTAAAAGTTAGCAGGAGTCATTGTGCTATAAGCTGTGCCCTACCCTTAGTACCTCAGGACTCCCATGTGCATGTATCCTAGTGGTGGGAAAGGTTGCCCTAAAGCAATTACAGAGACTTTTTCACTCTGGTGAGCCACATCTCTGGAAAATTGAAAATTGAATGGGTAATCATCTCTTTCCCTGGACTCTGATGGATGAATGTGAAATGCAAGACCAAGGTAGAGCCAGGAAATGGTTTTGGTTACAGGAAGCTGGCCCTGAAATATCACCCTGACAAGAACCCTGATAACCCAGAAGCTGCAGACAAGTTTAAGGAGATTAACAACGCCCACGCCATCCTGACAGATGCCACGAAAAGAAACATTTATGACAAGTACGGCTCGTTGGGGCTCTATGTGGCCGAGCAATTTGGGGAGGAGAACGTCAACACCTACTTCGTACTCTCCAGCTGGTGGGCCAAGGTGAGGATGGGCCGCCGTCAGTGTGAGCTGCCACACTGAAGACATTGAAAATTCTAGTGCCCAGTAGGACTACAGACACTGAAAGATCTGTGCCTCCTTTCTCTTGACATGGTTTCTGGCCTGGAGCTGTTCTCTATATACTGTACAACTGGCATGCTGGCCCATTCATGGCAGGCATAGTGCACAGTGTACATGGAGCAGAACCATTTTGCATTAACATGGTTTTCTCTGATGCATAGTGCCAAGTTATTAAAAAGATTGAAATAGGAAACAATTCTTTCATCATGGTGTGGGCAGGCATTTTGTTATCGGGGAGACTTAAAATCTCACTTTAGAAATGCTTGACCTACATAGTTGTATTTTTTTAATTTATTTTAATTTTTGCTTTTCTCATCTGTCAGCCATATACAAAGTCAGAATGATCTATCCCATATCCCTTAGGTATAGGAAGCCTGATTTTGGCTTTTACTGGTTAGTTCTCAATCTTTATAAGTTTTAGAGAGAAATCCATTATAGATTTATAGGTGGGAATTTAAGAGGGAGAGAGCCATGCCATTTGAGTTAGACATGGAGGTCAGCTACATTGCAGACCAGCAAGCTGCATTGCAGAAAGTTGGGAGTGATACTTCAGAGAAAGAGTAAGGAAGCCCATAGTACCAGAGAAAGCATACTTAGGCACTGGCCAACATCTGAATACAAAAGAAATAGAAGAGAGCAAAATGGGAAAGTTAAACCTTTCTGAGTTCAGAAAGGCAGGCAAACTCAATAGAACCTCGAGGCAGCCTGTGCTCAATCCCATCTTTACAAATTACTTTATTCTATTTTTTTCTGCCTTCACCCTTCTCCTGAAAAATACCCTTAGCATTAGCTGTACATTCTGCAGCTCTTGTCCTGTCTTCTCTAGGGAGGTTCTTGTGTTATGGCCTATGGGCCCTTGAGGCTGTACAGTGCTAGTATTCTCTTTCCCAGGCCCTGTTCGTTGTCTGTGGCCTCCTCACCTGCTGCTACTGCTGCTGCTGTTTGTGCTGTTGCTTTAACTGCTGCTGTGGGAAGTGCAAGCCCAAGGCACCTGAGGGTGAAGAGACAGAATTCTACGTATCGCCTGAAGACCTGGAGGCACAGCTGCAGTCTGATGAGAGGGGTAAGTACCCACCCCAGGACCTTGTGAGTGTGTGGGGTGGAGCCAGCACTGGCCCTGAACGGTGTCAACTGTCTTGTCAAACAGGAGGGCACTGACACTGTGCCGAGAGTGTTTGTGGTGGCATCTGGGACTGTTGAGGTGTGAACGTGGACACTTGAGGTAAAGCAGGTGCAGGGAGCTGTTCCTGCCCATGAACTGTGGTAGCCGTAGATCTGAGGGACCAAAGGTGGGGAGGGTGACAGGCAGGTGGGGAGGGCCGGGGGCTGGTGTGACCTGAGACCACTGAGGAAAGTGTGTTGGGTGGAGGTCAGCAAGTAGCCTCTCCCCTGAGTGTCTGTCCAGGTGGCCGAATGATGTGATGCAAGGACCATGTCAATGGGCACACAATACGGCTGCTGCCCTTGTGCGATGAGGCTACTTGCTTACTTTTCAGAGGCTACAGACACACCGATCGTCATACAGCCAGCATCTGCCACAGAAACCACCCAGCTGACGGCTGACTCCCACCCCAGCTACCACACCGACGGGTTCAACTAAATTCAGGAGAGGCTGTGATTAGAGGATGAATCAGCACCTGGCCACTGCAACCTTAGAATCATGAACTGTAGTCACTGAGATGGGGAGGCAGCCGTCAACCTGACTTGCAGTGGCTGGTCAGGGCCCCTCCCACCTCCTCTAAGCCCAACCATCTGTCAATCCTTGATACACGACGAAGTGCGTAGCATGCAGTATTTAAAGCAGTGTAGCTACGGTCTTCTTATGTTTTATCCTTTTTTTAATAGCATGTATGGGTTATGTTCAATGTCTGTGTTGTGGATGTGCTACAGCTGGGCTGAATTAACTGGATGGTAGTGCTTTCTTGGGTTTTCAGCCAAGTGGGTCCAGTGAGGTTCAGCTGTCTCCTTGTGCTTACAGGAGTAAGTTAGGCACCTGGAGCTACATCTCCTTGTTGGCCTCTGTGTCCTGTGACATGGTCTAGTCCATGGCTCTGCTCTCATCCTCAAGGCTGCAGACAGGGTTCTGATTTGACCTGCGAAGGAGGGAGCTGGGCCCCATCCTCCCAGGCACCACCAGCATCAGTCGTTTGCACGATGTTCGTGTTGGGAAGCTTTCATAGGGTCTCTGCATCATCTCACTCGGCCTCGTGACAGTTTTCCTGTGTTAGATCTGCTATGGAGAGTGCAGGTATGCCCCTTCTGAAAGTGGGAGCACACTCTGTGTAATATCTCTATCTTGGGTCTCCTGGCCTTGTGGACTGAGATCTTATCATTGGAGGCATGTCCCTTGCTGGTGTATGGGAAATCATTTGTCTCTGTTCTGCACCTTTCCAGGTCAAAAGCTGGATTGACGGGGCCACAGCCTCATTCCTGGGTCATCTTCCACATTCCTTCAAGCCAACCATTTTAATTCTTTTTTTTTTTTTTTTTTTTTTTTTTTTGACTTTAAGAACCACAAATGGTAGCACCTGCCACTTATTAATAGTCAGAAAGTCTTTGAGTCCAGTTGTGGGTGGCATGTAGCTGCTTATAAAGAGTTTGAGTACCCAGGATCCAGAACCTCCTCCCTGTGCTTGCCAGAACTCCATCCACCCCACTTGCCTCCGCTTCCACCTGTCATCATGAATGCCTCTGGCAGAGCTGGAGTGTTGGGTTCCTGGAGTAGGTGACTGGACCCTGGTACCCCTGCCTCAGAAGGGTTGGCTTCTAGGGAAGCTATGGTGACAGTCACTCGACCTGGGATGCCAGCTGCAGGCTACAGAATTTCTTTGTGAATCTCCAGTCAGTATTCCAGTCTTGGTCAAGGGTACTGTGGTGGGTGGAATTGAAAAATGTGGTTACCAGGGATTTTGAACCATACTACCCTTTTACAGTTAGCTGGATTAGCTGCACCAGACTTCAATGAGCCTGGTTCCTCCAGAACCTTCCTGCTGGCTGCTGCTGACTACCTGCATTTCCAGTACAGATGAAGAAGGAGAAAGCTCATGTGGTGACTCAGTGGCTCAGACAAACCACCATGTGTTTCCGAAGCCCACCTTGTCCACCTGGCCCCAGTTCACCAGGGCCTTCAGGGACCAGATCAGGTTGACAGGAAGTTGCAAGAAGAGGCAGCATTGTGAGGACAAAGCTGGCAGTGATTGAGGGTACCTAACCAGATCCTGGGAGGCATTGATGCCAGGGTTCCCAGCTGACCCTACAGGAGAACTCCATGAGCCAGAAGCTGGCTTCAAGATCCTTCCATGGGTTTGTTAGTTTGTTTTGTTCTTTAAAGGATCTTAGGGATTTTCACTAGCATACTACGTTAGAAATAATTTGTAAACATTGGACCTATGGCTAGATGTAGTGGGACATGCCTATAATCCCAGCACTAGGGAGGCTGAGGTAGAAGGACATTGAGTTGTAGACCAGTCTGGGCTTTACACAGTAAGACTCTGACTCAAACAAATCTAGTAGAAGAATGAGAAATTCATTACTGGGCCAATTGTTGCGACAAAAGAAGAAGAAAGGCCACTGGGCATCTGGGGTGCTGGTCCCAGTACATTAATCTTGGTGCCCTTTTAACATAATGACGAGGAACCAGATTCAGAGTTGTAGGTAATGAGTAGAGAGCTGCAATCTGGTAGCACATCCCTCCTGCATGTAGCTCTGTGGCCCTTTCCCTTACATCCTAGTGAGCCAGGTCCTGAACTGGGACTTGTGGTGCTGTAGGGTGAGAGCACAGAAATTGAGCCTAGTGTCTTTTGGAATTTGTAAAGCTAAATAAATCATGTTGAACTTGAAATAAGTAGAACAGTTTCAAGGTGATAATAGTGATTGCCAAGGCCAGTTAACTCCCTGACCTATTCCTTCACACAGACTCCCTGCAGGGTTTTACTGTGTTGATCTAAGTTCTCCTTGATTTCATTTGCCTAAGTTCTCCTTGATTTCATTTGCCCTGACCTAAGCATAACTGGTGAGTCTCAGGATCAGCCTGACTATTCCTGACCAAATACTATTAAATATAAAGACAGACAGACAGACAGACAGACAGACAGACAGACAGACACACACACACACACACACACACACACACTCACTCACTCACTCACTCACTCCCTCCCTAAACTCCTATGCTGGTAGGCAATGTAGATGGTGTTGTGGTGTTTTGCCAAGGGAGTGCTGAAGTCTGTGCATGGAAGTTCATCAAGAGCAGTGGATACCCCTTCAGGACCAGAAACTGATCACTTCTGACCTACAGAAAGTATTTGGGAGAGATCCTGGAGACCCATCTCACCAAGACTAGAGTGTAGATTTCTGTTTGTGCCCAATGATGTGGTCTTTACTTGTCTTCCTTTTGACTGTGTTTTTAAATTACTTTAGATAATTCTTTGCAATGTTTATAACCCTTCCTAGTCTTCTGATGTTCATTATCATAGCCAGCACCCAGTGGGGACCTGTTATAAAAAGAAATCAGTGCTTACTGTGGTTAGCAGGAAACTTTCCCAAGTTGTTGGTTGCTGGATTTGTTACGGAATCATAAAGCCAGTCTTTTCTCAGATGTTCAGATGCCAGGTTTTACTAATATCAATGCCCACTGTCCTGCTGACCCATGGCTTTTATTCCAGGTGAACCTTGTGCAAAGGAGCTGCCATTGTTGCATCTGGTAGTCTCCAGAGATGGTGACCCAATCATTCAAGCTGTCCCTGGAGGGTCTAGGTGCTGTGGTACAGAGAACTGGTGGGCCATGACCATCTTCCTGTGGCTTTCAGTGCACCTTTTATTGAGGGATAGCTGTGAACAGTGTAAAACATGACTGATCTCATTCTTTTCCCTGTGTTTTGAGCTGTGAACCCATGTGTCCCAGCACTGACCTGTTCCTTTTATTTTGGTTGAGTTATCCTCCTATGGAAATAACAAAAGCTACATCTTTACTATCCTCACAAGCATGGTATGTGTTGTCACATACTGTGAGTGTGGGCTATGGTGTGTGTTGGTGTGTGTACATATGTGTATATGTATATATCACACAGCAGGCCTGTCATGCTGCTGTTTGGTGGCAAAGCAACAAGTACAATAAAAGTCGGCTCCAAAATAGCCTGTGGTTTCTTGGAGTGTTGGGCAGGGGTAGGATCGCTTGGCAAAACACAAAAGGAAACCCTAAGCTTATTGTATACATATAGGTACATGTACCTGAATGCACTGCATAGGCCCTGGCCAGCATTTGGCTTCAGGTATGTATGTTGGGCACAAGGGTGACTATACCAAATATATCCCTGGGATCCATGCCAAGCTCATCTGACCGTCAAATATATGAGGTATAAGACATGACTAGAAGCTATCTTCTCTTGAAACACTAAAATTTATGAGCACCTGTTAAAATCAATAACCATATAAAGGGTAGCCCAGGCAGCAGTTTTCTGTGGCTAAGAAAGGGCCCCAGTCAAGTGCCCCATAGGCTGTGCTGCTGGTAGATAGTTTTCTAGGAAAGTGTCTCAGGCTAAGTTGAGGGACATTTTTTTTACTTAAAGACAATTTTTAAGAGCTGAATGCAAGTGCATGGAAAGCCTGTACTAGTTTTACCCGCTACTGAAATCTGTATACAGCAGAGACAAGCTGCTGTCAGCCCAGGCTAAATGACTTTGGTGTACTTTCCAAGGGCCAAACTGAAAGCTGTGGTGGTTCCGCATGGTGACCTGTCTAAATGTTGACCTAAAATAAAGATAGCTGTTGTAAAACAAATGTTTTCATTGCAGACCATGTGTGTCTTATTAGTGATTCCTGCCTAATTCTGTTTGTGAATTTGGCACTGAAGTGGCACCTGATGTTGGCCCCTGCTGGGTCCCCTGTGGAATGAGGCCTCATTTCCTCTTTCCTGGTCTACCTGTGAACACCCCTCCCCTCAGTTCTGACACCTCATTTCTAAATGCCTTGTCCAGAATGAAGAACCTGTTAGTCCTTCAACCCTGCTAAGGCAGCTGGGTTTTGTACATATATGTGTATTGGTTTGATTTGTTCTTGGGAACCAGTCATCCTGGTTGGACTTAAGGACCTGGTCCCTACCCAGCTTCTCATAGCTTTTCCATGACAAGCAGGAAAAAGGCACAAGCCAAGCTTGAATAGGGTTTGAGGGAACCTATTTTAGGTTCCCTGCGTACCCGTCACAGTTGAGACCCACAGCTCATATCCAATAGCTGTCCCTATGCATATGTCTGTCACCTCATTGGGATAGAATCAACATAACAGAAGCAAGATGCCTGGCAGTCTCCAGAGAAGCTTCTCTGACCCTCTAGTGTCTAGTAGCAGCAAGGCAGGGCTGGACATGAGACTTTGGTTCTGAAAACCTGAGGCTCCGACCATCTTGGATCTGGGTGGTCTTCCATGGCTCAGTCCTTGTCATAGTTGCCCACACACCAGCTTTTTATGGATCCTTTGGTAGTATCAATGTGGTTGGGAGAAAGTGGTCCCAGGGGCTGCCTCCTCTCAGAACCCTAGGTAGCCCTGTCTGTGGGTCCAGATCAGGTGGGCACGGGGCTGTTTGGTTCATTTGGAGGCCCCACTTACTCCCTTATCTTCATCAGGCAATGAATGAATAAGTTTTCAATTGTAAGGAAAGAATACAGGGAGGAGAATACCTTGTCCTGCTGGGTAGAGCTGGACCTTTCACCTCATTCTCAACTTCTGTTTTAGGGCTTCTATTGGCTGTGAAGAGACACCATGACCACGGCAATTTTTAAAAAGGAAAGCATTTCATTGGGGCTGGCTTACAGTTCAGAGGTTTAGTCCATTAGCATCATGGTGGGAAACATGGCAGCACACAGGCAGACATGGTGCTGGAGAAGAAGCTGAGAGTTCTACATCTTGTTCTGCCGGCAGTAGGAGGACTGTGTACTGGGTGTAGCTTGAGTATTTTGTGAGACCTCAAAGCTCACCCTTACAGTGACACACTTCCTCCAACAAGGCCACACCTACTATTGCCACTCCCTATGGGCAAAGGATTCAAACACATGAGTCTATGGGGGCCATACCTATTCAAACCACTACATACACCTTGGAGACTGCCTCAGCTGAGCCCACCCAGAATACATTCTGTCACACCTTCATTTTCTAAAGCTTTATTTGATTTATAAAATGTGTAAACTGGCCGGGCGGTGGTGGCGCACGCCTTTAATCCCAGCACTCGGGAGGCAGAGGCAGGCGGATCTCTGTGAGTTCGAGGCCAGCCTGGGCTACCAAGTGAGTTCCAGGAAAGGCGCAAAGCTACACGGAGAAACCCTGTCTCGAAAAACCAAAAAAAAAAAAAATGTGTAAACTGAATGTCTGGTAACATTTTAAATTCAAATAAGTTAATGTGTTGTCTCTGCAATCCCAGAGCAGGAGACAGGAGGCTTGATAGAAATAAGAGTAGCTCAGACTGGGAACTAGCCCACAGAGGCTGTCTCTTCCTCATCACTGCCGTCAGGAACTGCGTCTGTCCCAAAGTAGCGATCACCAAAATTCCCTGCAAAAAGAAATGGGACCCTTGTGTGACTGGGTCCTCCTAGGTCATCAGCCATGCCCCTGGGCTATGACAGCCTCACCAATGCCTGGGATGATACGGAAAAGGTCATTGACACGCTTGTCCACAGCTGTGGTGATGATTCTTACACGTGGGAATGCATAGGCCACAGAGTGCACACCCATCTCTGCCATGAGCAGGGATAGCAAGAAGATCTTGTCCTCTGGCACATCATGGTCCTGTGCAGCATGGGGACAGGATAAGTTCCAACACCAAGGAAACCTACCTGCAGCCCACCCAGGTACACTTACCAGCAGTACACGTACAGCCATCATGGCTGCAGCACCTGTGGATACTGTGCAGTCCATCAGGATCACATGGTCATCACTAATATCCTTGGGAAGTCTCAGGTAGTGGAGCTATAATTGATAGTAAGGTTAGAGTAGGCCCCCACATCAGGCTTCTGAGCCCCCCACTCTCCTCATAGGCTGGGCATCACTGTGACCCCCAGCTCTCCCTGGCTGGACACCTCAGGCTCCCCTGTGAGCTGGTTGGTCTGGATGAGGATAGTGCCGATGCGCACATCCTTACACACAGCACGCAGTGCAGGCTCCATGGTTTCCCCTGCACGAAGAATGGACACTCCGGTGATCTAGCAGGAAAGGGAGGATGAGTAAGCTGCAAGCTGGATGCCTCCAACCTATAGCCTCCTACCCCAGCAGCTACTGCCATCTCACCTGCTTTCCAGCATAGCACTTTCCCACGTAGTCTTGCCCCTGTGGGGTCTGTACAGTGCAGTCCTGCATAGTGAGTTGGGGTATCTATGAGCTGAGCCCCGCATCATAAGCCCAGGATGGCAAGACACCTACCCCTTCTCCCACAAACCCACACCTGGAAGGGTAGGAAGGACAGTGCATGTTCAATAAGCAGCCGCATCAATCTTTTGGAGTAGAAAATGAATTCATCCCGGCTGGTCTCCTTGTCCCTGATGGTGGAATAAACAGGCTTTAGAAAGGGATGGGCCAGAACCTGGGGGTGGAGTGGAGCAGAACTGGGGGTATGCCCATAGGTGGGCCCTTACCTGATGATGGTGTGCATGCCCCGTACCTGTGGTGTACTCTTGAGGACACTCAACGTCTGGGGAAGGGGATGGCACTGGTGAGCTGAGGCCAAAGCGGCCCTAGAGATACAAATTGATTGGCATATCTTATCCAAAAGTCCCTTTCTGCCCCAGAGGATATCTGAACATCACCATGGGGGCAGGAGCACGTGCAGGGTGGAAGCTGTCTGCTGACTATGGCTACCCATGAAAGATGACTTGTCACCTAGAATGCCAGGCCAAAGTGAGAATGCTCAATTCTGAACACTGAACACAGTCTCAGTGAGGAGGATGCTGAGGGGCTGAGGCATGAGGGTCCCTTCCTAGGCTCAGATAAAGTAAAGAGGTCAGACATAGGTAACAAGGGAGCGTACTATGGGAACAGATCTCAGCCTCCAAATGGACAGCTTGTTCCCAACTTCTCCTGGGAGAATGTAAGCTGTAGGGTTAAGCTCCACTCAGACCCATGCCCCAGGTAATGTGTAGCCCCTCTCAGGAGGGAGGGCAAAGCAAGGAGGGCTCAGTGCCAAAGGCTACCCATTCAAAACCCAAGCCTGGAGAGGGAAGGGCCAAGGACTGGTGAGAGGCAGAAGGAGGGAGGGCTGGCTAGGGGGAGATACAAACAGTGATCATGGAAGGAGGGGTCATGGAAGCAAAAGTGCAGGGGCAGTGCGGGGTGTGGGGCAGCACACAGCACAGCACACTCAGAGCTTGCTCTGCTCACATATCCCAACGCAGCTTCCTCTGCTCACAGGTGAAGAGCGTGTTCAGGGAGGGAACAGGGCAGGAAACAGGTTTACGACGAGGAAAGAACAGAGAGAAGAACACTTAGTGGGGGAGAGCAGCCAAGTCCCTACAGAAGGTGCCCTGCCACTACCAGCTGGCTGAAGACGAGGCAGGGGGCTGGCAGCTGTCTTGGCACTGACACCCTTGGTGCCTGAGGGTGGAGCACCACCTACACCCAGACGTTTTCCCTCCTGTTCACCAGTAACTTCCTGGAGTTGAAGGAGACCAAGTGGGTCAGCCACCACTTCTTGGCTGACCAGAAAATGGAAAGTGGAGCTGGCAGTGCCTGGAGATTTTTCTCAGAATTGAGGCTTTATTAAGGGCCCTGGCACAGGTCCATGGCACCCTGGTCTTGGTGAGGCCAAGCAGAGACTCATGCAAGGACAGGAAGCAGGGCTATTTAGACAGCCCTGGAGGCATTTCCAACACTGGCTCAGAACTCCTAAAGGTGTCCAGGGGGGCCATGAGGATCTCACAGTGGTTCAACTACATCTTCCCAACTCTGAGGAAAGTCTGGAAGAAGGGCAGGTCCCTGGTGCTACCTATGGCTCTTGCCTGGGCTTTGATCAGCAATGGATGATAATGGTATAATAGCCTATCCCAGCTTCTGTTGCAACACCAGCCTTGCTCCTTTCTGCCTGTGTTGTACTGCATTTTGAAGACTAAGCTAGGACAGGGCAGGGCCTAGGTAGAGAAGTCAGAGCCAAGCCCTTACCCCCAACTCCTCAGGGAGATTCAACTGAGCCTATGGCCCATGGGATGGTTCACTTTATAAGATACAGTAGCCTAGATACAGACCCAGGGTTTATGATTGTAGGAACATGTCAGTGTGGATCGTGCATGGCAGTGCTAGTCCAGGAGGACAGCTGTGTTCTCTGTGGCTGGACCTCAAGATAGGCTGTATGAGGAAAGAGCCTCTGTGATTTGGCCAGCACAGGTAAAACATAACCCTGGGAAAGGCCAGGCGGTGGTGCCACATGACTTTAATCCCAGCATTCCTGAGGCAGAAGCAGGCAGATTTCTGAGTTTGAGCCTAGCCTGGTCTATAGATCAAGTTCTAGGACTACACAGAGAAACCTGTCTTGAGAGAAAAACAAAAAACAAAAACAAAACAAAACAAAAACCAAATAAACAAAAACTCCTGGGGAAATTCCTTAATTTCTCTGTACCTTAGTGTTCTTATCTGCCAGCAAGGGGAATAGCAGCAAAATTGTGCCACTCTACCCCTGTGATATGGACTGTCTGCTTGGCTAGGTGACAGCTGACCTGGAGCTCTATGTAGATGTTGGAAATGCCTCCATCTGTGCAGAGTTGTGGAGTCTTACCTGACGCTGAGTTCACGCTGTGGCAGCAATACAGGGAGACACAAGGGAACGGGTGATGCATCAGTGACCAGGGCAAGCAGCCAGGCTACCCCCAACCCCCAGTGACAGACACTCCACAGCCCATGTGGAAATAGCTCAGGGTCTGCAAACTGCAAGAGGAGGCAAGCTTCTAAGGACCTCTAAAGTGGGGACAAGCTGGGTTGGGACCTGTGGCTCTGGGCTGTAGTAGTAGTGCCTAAGCAAGACTGTAGCCAAACACCACAGCCCAGCCATAAACCGCCTAATTTGGGACCTGTAGTGGGAAAATATCACTTGTAGAGTGACCCCCAGAAAGGGAAAATGGACTCAATGCTGAAATCCACAATCCTAGACTAGTGGATAGTGGATCACCCTGTTACTTTCAGGGTTGGGAGGGAGAGGAGTACATACACCCTTCCATGAATGGTCAAGTCCCCTTGCCTATCCTAGAGAGCTGGGCCATTTCAACAAGGTTAGGGAGCAGGCTCAGAACACTTGAGTCAGTACCTGCAGGGGACAGTGGATCTGTGGGGTTGGATGAGCAGGCTGCTGCGTGGGGACAACAGACAGACAGGGACTTTGGGTGCTATCTGGCTGACTAACCTCTTCCAGCTGGCTGTGGACATGCTGCACAATCAGGTCAATGGCTACTGTATTCCCGCTCCCTGGAGGGGGAAAAAGAGGATAACTCAGAAGTTGCTGGCCCTTTTGCCCCACTGGCTGGAAGACAAGGCTGACAAGCTCACCTCTGGGCACCACAATATCTGCCAGGCGCATGGTGGGCTGGATATACTGATCAAAGGCAGGCTTGACAAACTTGTTGTACTGCTTAATGACACCCTCAATGTCCCGGCCTCGCTCACTGATGTCCCGGCGTAGCCGCCGTACCAGTCGGATGTCAGAGTCTGTGTCTACAAAGATCTTCATGTCTAGGAGCTGGGTGGGGACAACAATCCAGTTTCACAGGGCTAAGGCAGCCACCAGTGGCACCATTAAATAGAAGCCAGGATCCACAGAGCCAGAGTGGCAACATGATCAGTTCATGGTCTATGGACCATGATCATTGGGGCCAGCTGCCCACAGGACACTCATTGGCCTAATCATTAGTGCACGTAGGGTGCATTCATAGAAAGTGTGTATTGAGATGGATTGTGGGTATGGGGTACAGAATGGAGACAACTGACAAGTCAGGCAGGAATGGGACTTGGCAGTGTGATGTACATGATTTCACTCAGACCTCCCATGAACACCGGAGGAGTGGGGCTTTGTGAGCTCAGGGTGTGGCCTCCTCCAGGCAGCGTGTGATAGGTGATCCCTGAAGGAGCTATGTGGGGATCAGGGCTGCTATGATAAGGTAATGACATGGTAAGAGTCCTCTTGGCCTGGGCCAGGGTCACACTCTGGTATATCCTGGAGGCCTTGCAGCAAAATCCTTCAAACTCACTGACTTTAAGTCCTTGTTTGTTCCTCAACAAGGAAGAATATCAAGAGCAGGGGAAACAGAAGTAAGCAGGGGAAACCGCTCTCAACAGGTAGGAGAGGAAACTACTGTCCTCAGAAGCCACACTCCACTGAAGTAGTCAGCTATATGGTACAGAACAGCTGTCTAGGATACACCAGGTGGGGCTCATCTAGAAGTGCCTGATAGGGAGCAGTCTTCTCAGAGAGCACAGAGCATGGAGGCCATGGGGATGAGGCAGGGCGTTCAAAGGAACTGTGTCTAAGGGGATGCCTGTGGAGTGGGTACTCCCAGCAAGCTCTCACCTCCAGCAGTGTCTTGTCAGCAAAGGCCATAATACCCTCAAAGATGATGACATTTGCACCATATAGTGTTTTCTGCAAAGGAACCAGGGAGTTTCAATGTTCAGCTCAGGCCCCTGCAGCCCCTTCCAGAGCCCTAAGACCATGGGCCTACCCAGTCCTTTTTCCGGCTATGAGTGGTGAAGTCATAGATGGGTACTTGGACGCTCCTGCCCTGCTTTAGTTTCTTGAGGGTGGAAATGATGAGATCAAAGTCGAAGGCATCAGGGTGGTCAAAGTTGAAATTGTTGCAGGCAGCCTGTTCCTGCTGCTGCTGTGTCAGAACCTAGGGGGCATGATGAAGCCCAGTGACCACAGGCCTACATTTGTAGGGGCAAAAGGGTCACTAGGAGGGAGATGAACAGGGCCTTACCTTATAGAAGGAATCCATGGACAGCAGGACCACCCAAGGCACATCTAGTGCTTCAATGATCATTCTGGCCACAGTAGTCTTCCCAGATGCACTGCCACCTCCCAAACCTGTACGTGGAAGGTTACCTTGCAATTAGTTGCAGCTGGGCTGACCATGCAGCCTGATCCCCAACGTGCCTTCCCACACTGCTCTTACCAATGGCAAAGGCCTCCTTGGATTGTGTGCCATGTTCATTGTACCATGGTGGCCTCCCGGCTGTGTAGATGGTACGTTTGCTTGTACGAAGCAGGGGTGGCTCTGACTTGCACTGGCTGGTGGTGCGCTTCCGGGGTGAGCGCCCGGTACCCACTGGTGGGAGAAGTCTGTCCAAGGACCCTGCATTGCTGCTGTGAAGAGGAATGTGCTAAGCCTCAATCAACAGTGGTCAACCTCCCTGGTCATGCCCAAGTAGGACACAGTATGGGCTCAACTGGGGAGCGTGTGCCCAAGAAACATACCTATAGCTGGTCCATGGAGTAAATGGGGGCACAAGATCTTAGACTACTCACACAGCAAGGACAAGGGACAGCAATTAGTGGCAAGAGGACATAGGAGGGTATACACAATCTCAGAGCTACAATCCTACTCCTCTGTGGACTGTGGTGGGTAGGGCTTCATTCCGGGGGAATGAATATTCAAGGATAAGGAAGATCCCATTAAGGACTGTGCCCCTCTCCCCAACACAGCATATTCTTTGGGTACTCCAGCCACTGCTATTCTGCAGGATGGTTGTTGCCCCAGGAGGTGAGAGTGCAATGTACTGGCCACATGCCAGTGGCAAGATATATGTTCTGGGGAACTCCCTGGTCTGGCACCTTGTCAAGAAATGTAGGAAAGAGGGGGGATATAGAGGAGTGTGAGAGGGGAGGGAGGTGGAACTGGGGGATGGTATGTAAAATAAAAAAATTTAAAAAAGAAATGTAGGAAAGAAAGTAAGAAGGGAGGCTAGAAGGCCTATGAAGAACCCACTTCTCAGTATGACTCCTTCTGAGTTCCCAAGCCAGACACCTCCAGCAGCCTGTAAATGCCACCTGTCTTGGCTGATTGTGTATGTGTACACATACATGTACATGTGTGGTGGTGGTTTGAGAAGGTGACCCAAGATAGTGGAGGAGAGACTAACAGAGGATGCAAGAGGAAAATGTAACCCAAAGAAGGTCAGAGTAGATCTGTTTAACTGTGTACACTCATGCTAGGTGGGCAATCAGAACCCTGCTGATACAGCAGTTGTTCTGCATTCCTAAAGGGGTGTCATTACTGGCCATGGCCTTCACATCTGAGAATGAGCAGTGTGGTGGTCTGAATAAAAATGGTCCCCATAGGCCCATAGGGAGTGGTACTAATAGGAGATGTAGCCTTGTTGAAGAAAGTATGTCACTGGAGGTAGGCTTTGAGGTTTCAGAAGCTCAAACCAGGCCTAATGGCTCACTGTCTCTTCCTGCTGCCTGTGGATCCAGATGTAGAACTCTCAGCTACTTCTCCAGCACCATGTGTGCCTGCACGCCACCATGCTTCCTGCCATAATGATAATTGATCAAACCTCTGAACTGTAAGCAAGCCCCAATTAAATGTTTCCCTTTGTAAGAGTTGCCGTGTCAGACGGTGATGGCATACACCTTTAGTCCCAGCACTCAGGGAGGCAGAAGCAGGCGGATCTCTGTGAGTTCAAGGCCAGCCTGGGCTACAGAGTGAGTTCTAGGAAAGGCTCCAAAGCTACACAGAGAAACCCTGTCTCAAAAAACAAAACAATGGCTGGGTAGTGGTAACGCATGCCTTTAATTCCAGCACTTGAGAGGCAGAGCCAGGCGGATCTCTGTGAGTTTGAGACCAGTCTGATCTACAAAGCGAGATCCAGGACAGGCCCAAAGCTACACAGAGAAACCCTGTCTCAAAAAAAAAAACAAAAACACAACAACAACAAAACAAAAAACACGAAAAAGAAAAACAAAACAAAAACAAACAACAACAAAAGAGTTGCTGTGGTCATGATGTCTCTCCACGGCAATAGAAACCCTAAGACAAGCAGCTTCTAAAGTGGCTCCATGTGCTGCATCCCCTCCCTAATATTTGCCATTTGTTCTGAGGTACAGCCTGATGCAAAAGTGCTAAGAAAGGGTTAAAGAGATGGCTCAGCAGTTAAGAGCACTGACTGTTCTTCCAGAGGACCCAGGTGAATTCCCAGCACCCACGTGGCTGCTCACAACACTGTCTGTAACCCCAGTTCAAGGGGATCTGACACCCTCACAGAGACACACATGCAGGTGAGACACCAATGCACATAAAATAAAAACAAACCTCAAAAAATTAATTTTAAAAGGTGCTAAGAGAATGAGACATATGCTTAACAGAGGCATTTTCTGGCCACCGTCTAAAAGGAAATCTATGTAGGTCATATGATCCCAGCCTCAGCTTTCAAACTACCCAAGAAGCTCTCAGGTCAGTGGCTTAGCCTGGCACGCTATGGCTCACCCACATGGGGTCAAATTGACCTGTCGATACTGACGATACAGGATGGTGTCTGATGGGTAGAAGGGCTGCCTATAGAAATGGCAGATGGACGTGTCAGGCTAGCTCCTTGTGGGATGCCTCCTACAGTGGCTGGTATAGTTTGGAGTACTGCAAGAGAAAGAACGCTGGATGGAATACCAGGCAAGCCTGAGGTGAATGAGGTAGACTGGCAGGTCCAGATCAGAACAAGTATCCCTAGGGCACTCTTGGGTAAAAAAAAATATACTAGAATGAAAAATGGTTCAGTTTACATAAAAGCCAATAGATGAAGGACGCTCACTTAGGGACTGAGGACATAGCTTAATAAACAAGTATGGGGCCTGATCCTCAGTATACCCCCAAAACATGCTCACCCAAATGCACATACACGCCAATGTCTGTAAGAAAGGTGTGTACTCAGAAACCCTGAAAGCAAATGTGCCAGTATAATAATCAGAATTTCCCTGGAGACCACAATTTGGGACAGGGACTTTTGTCACATTTGAATGATTTACAAGTACAAGCTCTCTCATCAAAATGGAAGCTGGGTTTGTCTGGTAATTTCTATTACTGCTGCCTCACAACTCTCAGTATGATGCTTCATGGGGCTGATGTGGCTCGAGGCAAGCTTCTTTCTACCTCTGGGATAGCCCAGTTTGAGAACAATGATGTTCTCAGCTGGATAATCCTTCCTAGAACCAGAAAGATTGTGGCTGTATGCACATGAGTTGGAGGACAGGCAGTGGAAAGAATGGGTAGAAACCCAACATGTAACTGCTCATACTGGCAGCTCTGAAAGGTACAGGACAACATAGATACAAGTGAGCATCATGAAAAGAGCCCATTTGCATCCAACCAGCAAAACACATTGCATTCATCCTTGGGGACAAAGACAATAGGCCTGCTTGTTTCTGTACCATTCATCCTTACCAGAGCTCAGAGAACGAGCATAGGGAATAATTAGTCAGTCTGTTAAAAGTTCAGCCTTAACTCCACTGCACTGGAGACAAGTGCAGGAGTTAAGAGCATGAGGCTAGGCATAAACAACACGGCTAAATACTGAGAACTGAGTCTGCCAGTCAAGGATCTTAGGGACAGATAGCATGTGAGGGACACAGGTCAAGAAATGATGAGCTTACTGAAGGGGTATCACTGGTATCCCAACTCAGGCATGCCTGAATGGCTCAGTCAAAAAGAGAGGCAACAACTATAAACACAAACAATGAGATCCCCAGGTCCCCAGACAGAGGGTAACTGGTTGCTCACCTGAGTATACTAATCCATCCACAGTAAACAAATGGATCTGTGAAGCTTATCCACTGGGCTGTCCTTTCCAGCGGGCAAGAGCTGGGGGCCCCCAGCTAGAGGAAAGAGCAGAGACTCCCCAGGGTTCCAGACTGGGTCTTGCCTTGGTCCCTAGAGGCAGCATGACCACAGTACACAGTGTAGCTCTGGGAGGCCACAATAAACAAAAAACAAATTCAGGTTCTCTGTCTCCCCACCAGGCTTCCTCCACTTTCCCCAGGGAGCTGCCCTCAGCTTTTGGGAGGAAACTACTCCAATGCAGAGCATCTGACTTGCAAGAGAGCCAACAACCTGATAAAGCCTGCCTGTAGGCTGTGCCCTGGCCACCACTGGTAAACACAAGTACACACAAAGCCATGACACACTCAGACAGAAATTGGACAAAGGAGGCAACAGGCTGGGGCTGTTTTCCTGATCCCCCTGATTCTCACAGTACCAGTTTCCCTAGGGGAATTTAAGTTCCCATCAGCCACTCTTCTCCACCTTGGTGAAGATCCCTTCCAAGGCTTGTGCTGCTGATGGGAAGAATGCACAGTTGCAAGTAGATCAGGGAGAACTTTGCCAGAAATCCACCTCATGCTGTGTCTGTACAAGGACCCCTTGTCCTCCTCAAAGTTAATAGCTGTCTCCTAAAACCAGAGATATGGCATCACCCCATTTTTCACAAAAGGTGCCTCTTGATGGGAAAATAGCACAAAATACTTCATCTCTTACCCACAGACAGACAAAGGGGCTTCTGGCCTCAATAACAAAAGTTCATTTGTACTAACAGAGTTAAGAGACATTACCATAACCTACCATCCCAAGTCAGCCACATCTGCAGCCCTGAGCATTGTTTGGCTCCCAGGAGCACCTGCCGGCTTGTTTGTTTTCAGAGATATTCATGGACACACATCACACATAAGTTAGGAGTGGTCTGTATCATTGGGAAGTAGGGTTCTCCTCAGCAGGGACTCTGCTGCAACTCACCTGCCTTCTTCTCCAAGAGTCCAGCACCCTGAGATCCTGATGCCAGGGTAAGCTGGGGGGCTGCTCATTGCCAAGGATGCAGGTAGGTACAGAAGGTTCAGAGGTAGGTATCCCTGGACAGTGAGATGACCCAGGTATACGTGGTCTAGGTGCTACCTAGATTATCACTACCTCTTAGAACTACTGTTGTCCCCAAGGACAGCTTGGGATTTCTGGCCACCTGAACTGATCCTCCATGGATGGAATCACTCCTGTGGGCAGCACAGCAGAAGAGCTAGGTAGGATTGGACCCCTAGGCTGGCAGCAGTAGCTTACTCTATATAGGGGGTAGAGCACAGCAGCTAGATGGCCCCAGGAGCCCTACTGCACTAAGGGAACACAATGCTAGACTCAGAGGCCAAGGCCACATGTATAAGAGGATCACCCAGTTAGGGCTCATGCACCAGATATTAATAGTACTAACTCTGGCCCGCACAATCCCCAGGCCAGTTGTTGTGAAGAATATTTCAGTGTCAGCCAGTATGCTCATTAGCCTGGACTTGCTGAGGACCACTGTACTTTAGTACCTTTTCCCAAATCTCCTGGAAGAAATACAGTTGTGCCCCGAATGCATACACAGCAAGACAAGGAAATCTGAGGCCCCTCTAGGCCAGGTGATCTGAATGTCAGTGATGAGCTGGGTGCCTCTCCTCTGGCCCCAAGGTGCCTCCTACAAAGATAAACAAATCTGAAACTCTACCCTAGCACATCCAAGAATAACTGTCCTACCCCCACCTTACAGAGGCTCCAGTAAGTCCTATGGCTACCCAGGCCTTATCAGTCAGCAGGGGACACACTCACCTCCCTGCCCACAGCATAGAGAGAAAGGGAAGATTTGGTTCCAGTCTCAGCTGAAATCCCTTTACTGACTTAAGATCTAATCAGAGAGGTTCTGCTGGCCTTGGGATTCTCTTCCAGGGGTGGGTTGGCCTTACGGCAACCTCATCCTACGTGGCTGGCCTCCAGCATGAAGACAGTCTGGCAGGTGATTGGGAAAAAGGAAGCTTCCAAGTGGACTTCACACACCTGAACAGGAGCTACTCTGGGAGCACCTCCGAGGCAGCTCTTCTCACTAGGTAATTTATGGCTGTGTCTACATCCCTACTAGACACCTGGAGCAAGAAGAGCCTATCTATGTTTACGTGTACTTGTGTATGTGTTTATAGAGCTTGTCCCTCTGCCTCCTCACTCAGGTGGTTGGCTGGATATGCTCTAGGATTGCTCTGGAAGGCTAAAGTTGTTCTGGGCAGAGATGCAGAGTCAAGAGGTCCTAGGGAATCAGTTCACAAGTTTGGCTGGCTGATCACAACAGAGGGATCCTAACATGTTCTTTGAGTATTCCATCAGGTCTGTGGGAAGCTAACACTGTGCTGGTCTCAGAAAGGGAAGGCCTAATTCCAGGTTTGTTATGTTAACATATAGAGCTGCTCCACCTACTGATTCACTAGACTTGGCTCTAGAATATCAGACCCTGAACCCTAAACTTCACTTTAACCTAGGATGTATCAGGCTACCTGGCCAACCACTCCAGCCCCTGAAGTTTCCTCCTTTGAGGCTTTCATTTTAGGTCTCAGGGTTGTATGAAGTAGGTGGTGTTGGGAGCTGCTACTCAGTCTTTCATTTCCCCCTGCCTGTCCACTAGGTGACAGCTCTGTCAACTATAGCTCAGATGCCATCACTCACCAGGAAGTTGCTGCAGACCTTATCCTTATCAAGGAAATAGGGGTTACTGAAGACCTAAGCATGTGCCTCATTGATAAGGAACCTACATAAGATAAACATCATGGAAGAAGAGCTGCCCTATAATTTGCATTCCCCTGTGTCAGAGAAGACAGAATCAAATGTCTACAGCAGGGTCTGAAGAGAGGAAGGGTCATCACTTGGACCACCAAACGCCTAAGAAAGATATCAAGGTCCCTCTGCCATTGCTAGATCTATAGTCAAGCTATTCCTCCTGATGCTTCTATGGAAGACCTGCAAGAGGCAGGGGATGGTTCAGAGATAGCCAGCAAGATCATGGTTCACAAGGTAGACAAAGGAATGGGAGATTAAAGGCTTCCATGGCCCATTTGCCACACTGCAACTCCTTCACTCACACACCTCCACCTGTATCCCAAGCTTCTGGGTGGGCACCATTAGCTTCTCTCCACTTCTATAATCTCAGTCTAATATCCATTTTGCATATTGACATGAAAGCCACTGGTTGCACCATTTAAAGTCAGGAGACTCCAAGGAAAAAGCCTCGAGGGCCGACAGATATGGGGACAGGTGCTGGGAAAAGCAATAGGCGAAACCTCACACTGGACATGAAGAGGTCTATCAGCGACTCCCTCTCCTACTGCTTGCTGCGAGTGCCTGAGTCTATCTTCTCAGGGTGTTTCCTCAGGAACCTTCGGAAGTATGTGGCCGGCCATGACCTCTTTGCTTCTGGTTAGATCAAGACCTTCTGAACTAGAAAGCATCACAAACTCAGCCTTGTTAGACCCAACCAAGTTTTTCAGGCTACCAGTTAGAATGCCTTGGAGTGTGTGAACTAGCCTGGATTTGCCTCATCCACCTCCAGCACCTGCCGTCCCAAAGTCGTCCAGGCTCGCAGTTCCCCAAGCTGTGCTCTGAGGCCCTTAGAGCTTTCAACTGGTGCAAACAGACCGGAAGAGGTGCCACAAGCAGTTCCAAGCACGGTCACCGCCCCCTGGCGGCCGTGGCCTGGAGTTGCTACGCATGATGATCAGGCCGAGCCCTCTCCATATTCCTGAAAGGCTGGAAAGGGCACCCAAATTCTCCGGCAGGTGGAGATCACCACCCGATCCTACCTTCACAGTTACCACTGGCCGCCAGGTGGGTAGGAGCTGGTGAAATCAAATTCGACGAACTCAGAATGTCGAGCACGCCCACCACCCACCTGGGAGCCTAGAGCCACTAGAACCCAGGCCACACAGGTCCAACAGGTTTCCACTTTCTGTGCCTCCAAAAGCTAAGGGCTTGGGCCAGTTCCGCCTTCCATCTGCTGGGGCCCTCAAGGCCACCTGTCACCTCCCTCTCCCTGGCAGGGGGTTGCCGACACATGGCCCAGGAGGCCCCAAAGCTCCGGAGAACCGCTGAAACCTGTCCAGGATCTATGCGGCTGTGGAGACCGAGCTGCCCATCTGCAGAGATGCCGCGAAGCTACCCGGGCTTTAAGGAGGGACGCAAGCCGTGCGCTGACCCCTCCCAAGAGGCGAGCGCGGCCCCTGCCTTATCCAGGCCCGCGCCTACCGGTCCTCACACGCAGTCTCATTCTGCTCGGCCGAGCGGCCAGGCACGTCTGGGGCCACAGTGGATTGTAGGGGCGAAGGGGCAGCGTCCGCGGAGGCCGGCGGCGCAGCCATGGCGTCTGAACCTGGCTGAGGCCAGGGAGGCGCGCCGGGAGTCTGGCACGCTGCGGACTACGAGCCCCACAAGGCCATGCGGCAAGCCTAAGGAAGGGCCTGCGCCTCAACACAAACTCAACCGCACAAAAGCCCTTGGAAAAAAAAATCAATAAACATTTATTTGATACAGTAATTTTAATACATACAATTGACGGCCCACCACCGCACCACTCTGGGCCAGGGTATGAGGATGGGGACAGATGAACACAAGGCGGGCAGGACCCACGCTCACCTCAAAAACATCTTGCAAATAAAACACTTTGTAGATAGAATATATATGCATGTATATCTATGGTTACAAGTGATAGCCAGAAATGCACTTGTGTAATGAGAACTGTATTAAAACCAAACCAAGGAACCCAAAGTTTAGGAGGCGCTGCAGTCAGGTATGAGGGGTGACCTGGGAAACCAGGCCTCCAGGGCAAAGGGCCTGGGTTCTACCCAACAGGGGACGCAGGAATGACTCTCCCCTCAGAACCACTATGGAGACAGGAAGGCCCCAAAGCCCCCAGGAGGCACCAATATCTGCCTGTGCAGGAACATAAAGTGCACCCTGGTTCTGCATGAAATGTCTGCCCTTGGCACTTTTCTGTTTTTTAGGGCAGGGCAAGCGCTGAGCCAGAGGTAGATCTGTAGAGACCCTGACTTTTGCATTTTGCCAAGGACCCAGGGTTTGTTTGGGCCTCTAAGTCCAAGCCCACCACCTCCTGGAGATCTGCCATGATGGTCCCTCTGAGGGTCTGTGTAGGCTGGTAGTCACCTTTGGGCCAGAGTAGGAAGGTGGGCAGACTAATGAACCCTGCCCAGGGAGGGCCTTACTACCTTAGAAGAGTTTTACAGATTAGCTTGCCAAAACCCCTTACCAGCCACCACCAGCTGGTACCTATCCAACTGCCGCCTTTGACAGCTGCCCCCCACCCACCTCAAAGACAAAGGAGTTAAAGTGCTAAACATCAAGTGACCAGAACCCCAAGTCCCATATCAAGGTTTTGAGGCATGTCCTGGAAACTCAACCCCCAGCAAAACCCAGGTCCTACTTCTTCCTTCAAGTGCCAAGTACCTGAGAGGCTGAGGTGGATGGTCACACCCCACAGAGGTGTTGTGAAAGTACACTTGGGCCCCATTCCCTTCTGCAATTGCACACCACCACCCAAAAGCCCCAGCCTACCCTTTGACCTTTGACACTGGATTTTACCCACCTCTGTGACCACCCTCTGATCATGTCAAAGGTGTGTAGGAATTGAAGAGTCCATTCAATACCCCCAGCATATCACGCCAGGGTTGCCTAGAGTCAGAGCTTTCCTAGATAGGAGTGTATAAAAGACTCCATCCCAAATCTCCTTGGAACTCCTCCCCCTGAGATTAGGGGGCAGGTGCCAGTCAGTACTACAGCCCAGCTCTACCTTCGGCACCAGGTAACCCTTAGCACCAAAACATAAAATTGTTGAGTTTTGTATAAAAAAGAAAAAACAAACAAACAAAAAAAAAACCCCCAGAATTTTAAAAAAGGTTGCTACTTGTCACAGCAACAAGACTGCCATCAACAACATCCAGGAGACACACACAGGCAAATATCAAAATTCACATCGTCCAGGATCAGAAGCAGAGGACTCAAGTCCACCCCTACCCACACTGGGAAAAGCCTGTTCTCACCCCCTCCAGCCTTCTTCTGGTGTGGCTCACAGAGTGGTGGTTAGGGTTAGAAAGTAGAACCAGGAAGGAGGCCAGATCTCTCTTCCAGGCCTTGCCCAACCTGCAGACCCTGTTATCCTCAGGGCCCCTAAAGGGGTGGGACCCAGCCTAGAGCCACTACACTGGCTGAGACCCCATCTTTCACTATCCTTTAGTTTCTGTATCAATGACTGACTGCCACTAGATACTGAAAGCAGTTAAAGCAGGGGGAAAAAAAAGAGGGCTTCCATGGAACTTGGTTTATGGGCCCACCTAGCATGGCAGACATAAGCAGTCTCTCATAGGCGCTACTCCTGGGCTAGAGGCTCCTTCTGGCCAGCCTCTGCTTCACATGGCTGTGGTCCCAGGGAGGCATGCCTCAGGGTGCCAACAAGATCAGAAACTAAAGGCTGGAGGTGGAGCATTCTAGTCCTTTGCTCTCAGGTTGGTAGCTATGGGTCTGGGCCTCCCTGAAGGTAGAACAGACAGAATTCTTTCCTTGCCTGGAAGGCTACATACTCTACCATGACCACACCTGTCAGTAGGGTGAGGCCTGAAACACAGCAGAAATGACAGAGGAGGGGAGTAGGCCCAGAGAGGTAGAAAACAGAAGCAAGGGGGTCATAAGTGGATGCAAGAGGACAGATGGGTGGGTGGCTGTCAGGGCAGCATGGCAGTAGCTAGACAGGGTCTGTCCTGGGAGGTAGCTGGGAGTTACTGGAGATCCAGTGTTGGGTGGAGGTGAGGCCTAAGTGATGGCAGCCAGGCTGCTCAGGTGCCTCATCAGCCCACAATTATGGGTCACCAGGAATGTCTGAGCCTTGAGGGAGTCAGAGTGGGGACCCTACTGGGCCAGAGGGAGGTGGAGATAGGGGCCATTTGGCTGTTCAAGCACACTTCATGCCCCATGGCACCAAAGCTCTAGATTTTGCCAGGCCCAAGAAAGTCCTTGTAGGGATGGCTGGGCCCCCAGCCTATTGCACTTTTGCTGCTGCCCCTGGCACTCCTGGGGAGCCCCACCTAGCCACATGAGGCAGCCTAAACAGAGGAAGGACCACTTTCAGGGAGATCAGAGTGGTTTGCCAACCCTCTGGACAGATGGGTATGTGTGTGGAGGTGGAGGACAGGTCTGGAACTGGCTCCCCTAATCTGGACAAAGTTGGGCATGGTGGCTAGGCCCTGCCCACTAGGCTCACTTTTCAGGTGCCTTCCCAGCTCCAGCCTTCTTCCCAGTAGAGCCTCGGGCCCCCTTGTCCCTGCCTCCTGGGGGCCAGTCATCCCTGTTTGGTGGCAGCTTAGATGCTGGCTCCTCAGGGGCCCGTTCCTTGGGCTTACGGCCCCGCTTCTTTCCTCCCGACAGACTTTTCTTCTTCTCTTTCCTAGGCATCAAGGAGTTCTGGCTCTTGTGTTTGGGAGGTGGGTCAGCTGAGGTCCGGAACCAATTCTAGGGAGAGAAAACTTGCAATCAAGACTGGGGACCTTGATCCAAAGCTATAGGCCCAGCTCTTTCATTAATTTTTTTTTTTAATTTTTATTGTTTTTTCTTTTTTTGGTGTGTGTGTCTGCATGTGGGTATGTGCATGTGAGTGCAGGTGCCTATGGAGGCCAAGGCCAGGGAGCCGGAGCTATGGACAGTTGTGAGCCTCTTGACATAGTTGTTGAGAAACAAACTTAGATCCTCTGGAAGAGCAGAAAGTACTCTTAACCACTGACACATTTTTCCAACCCACCTAAACTATTTTTTGGTCGGGCATGCAACTGCTAGGAAGTGGCAGAAGACAGGGTTTCCCCTGCCTCGGTAGGCTCCACTCAGTGGCTGGGTACCAAGCTGGGGAACCCCAGACTATTCTTTTTGCTTTTTCTTTTTTCTTCAAGATGTATCACCCCATGCTCTTGACACTTCAGGAGATATGAACTGTATTTTGAGAAGATAACACCAGATTTTTCAGTGTACACCATCTGAACCACCTGTTTTCCACCACCCATCCCTAAGGCCAGTCTCCAGGTCTGTAAGCCCATTAGATAACTTTCTTTTTTTTTTTTTTTTTTTTTTTTTTTTTTTTTTTTTTTTTTCAGAAGATAACTTTCATACCTCTGCATGGGTCTTAAGGATGTGATACTTGACACCGCTCTCAGAGCTGAACTCTTTGGGACATAGCAGGCAGCGGTACTTCCCCACCAGGTGGTCCCCCTGCAATGCACAGTGGTCCAGTACCCAACCTTCGGAAGATTCAAAGCACCCACATCTGGTCCAAGCCCTTATCCTGCTGCTAAAAGGTTAGGACTGGGGTCAGCCAGAAAGAAGCTGCACTGTCTTCTAGGATGTGTGTCAATGGTAGGTTTAGGGAAACATTACCCTGCAATAGAAGTATTAAGCCATCCCTGCTATAGGAGTAGGAAATAAGAGAAGGGTAGGATGAGGCAGGTGCTGTAGGGATAGGTCATAGTCTTTTGATGAATGTCCTCATCTCAAGCCAAGTGTGCCCTCTGCTCAGGTCAGGATGAACACTTATATTACATAAGATAAGGAGACTCCAGGGCAGGATTTGGAACCAAACGACTAGTGTAGGGAACAGAGAACGATTCTGGGCCACCTGTTGAGTACCTATTAGTCTGTGAGATCATATGAAGTGGAAGGGTAGGGGTCTTACACCTATACGGGTAAACCCTTGGTAAGAGAGAGCTGGGAGTGCCCAGTGCCCCACCTAGCCATGGGGATAATCCCAGAACTGACCTTGCTGCAGCTGGCAAGATGGGCCTTGAGGCCGGACACACTGGAGTAGATGGCTTCACAGCACTGCAGGCAGGAGACAGCTGTGGAGGAAGCCCTCCCACAACCCCATACAGGGACACCCACCCTCAACCCCAGAGCACTCTGGGGCTTCTCTGAGGGCAGGTCCCCAGAGCCCTGGATTTGGGCAGAGTGGGTAGATAGGTCCCCAGGTTGAAGTCCCTTTTGTTGACACGGTATCTACAGGAACGCAGGGTCAAAGATAGGCTGGCCACACTAAAGATGGTTACTTCCCAATAGGACACTCACTGTCTTAACCTCTACTGTTACCTGAATGGCCAAACCCAAGCCTTCTATCCTAGAGCCCCAACACCCCACTCCCACTATATGCCGGTCCCAGCTTACATCATTGGGACAGTTCACATGGCCTTTCTCCTTGACTTCATTCTTCCATGCCTCCAGCAGCTGAGGGTTAAGTGTAGGGAGGCCTGGCCGAGTATAGTTGAGCTGCAAAGCCAGGCACAGCACCAGGTAAGCTTCAGGCTGAGGTACATGCTGCTTTGACACAATGCATGTGCTTCTGCAGCAGGCTCATGACCCCTTCACAGATGGGGTTAGTAGATGGCCAAGATTACAAGAACATGGCTGCCACAGGGGAATTAAATGAGGCCTGTCCTGGTCAGAGACCAAGAAGTTGGGGGAGCAATTAGGGAATGACCAAGGGCCAAGATCCTGCCCATCCCTTAGATGGGCCACTCACCCGTGCAGTCTCAGGCACAAGGTCATCCTTCATGCGCCGTTTGGTCCAGTCACGGGCCAGCTCATCCTCTGCAATCTCCTGTAGATGGAACACGGCAACCTGGGCCGATGTGCGACGGATGCGACCACTTGGGGTCCGTTCTACTCCAAGCAGGTCCTCAGCCTCAGGGATTTTGTCTGTGGGCTCCTCAGGGGGCTAGGTGGCAAGGATACACAGAGGCCAGTATAAGCCATGGAGAAGGAAGGCATCCAGAGACTAGGAGTTAGAGTTGGCATGAGTTCTAGGCCATTTGTGGTCTCTGCATGCACATCGTGGGAGATATAGACACAAGAAAAACAAGACACTAGTGCGTGCACCAGGCTCCCATCCTTCCTCTTAGGACACACAAGACTATGGATCACTAAAGGCGGGGATTACACCTATCAGGGAGCACATGAACTCACAAATACATGCATGACACAACACAGGCCACTAGAGGATGGACATGGTAGATTATAGGTCACTCACCGGGGCTGTATGCTCTGAACGCACATGATAGTCATGGCCAGCCTTGGATCGGTAAGTCTTGCCACAGTGGGTACAGGGAAAGGAGGGACTGTCTACCTCACATGCTGGCTTCCCACAGCGCCGCTGGTGATACTGATAACCCATGAGGCTGGAGAAGGCGGCTCCGCAGCCCTGGGGATCCAGGTCAGAGACCAGGTAAGCAATCATCCAGCCCAAGTCCTAAACTCCCCCATATGGCTTAACACAGACCTCCTGGGGGCAACGTAGGCGTCCCATCTGCTTCAGCACCTTTCGAAGCCTCTCTCGCTCCTCCTGTTCTCCCCCTTCAGAGGCCTCAGCATCAGTGGGCTGAAGACAGAGCAAGCCTCAGACCTGATGCCAGTCAGGAGTTTAGGGCCACAGATCCAAAATCAAGCATAGAGGAGCAGTAGTGGAATGAGAGGTCAGCAGTCAGGGCTAGAGAGGGAGCTGGGGGTCAGGCAGCATACCTTGGCACTGTGTTCAGCCATGGTGTGGTAATTGAGACCAGCCTTGGACTTGAACTGTTTCCGGCAGTGCTGGCATTTGAGTGCTTCCTGCAACTGTAGACATGGCCTAACTATGAGAAATCCATCAAAGTCAGGGGATCTTCCCTCCCAGTACCTTGGGGGGTAGGGGCGGGGGCAGGAGGCTTACCTTATGACATACTTCCATGTGTTTTTTGAGCCCCACGAGGGTCTTCCGGGTAACCACATTGCAGGTGGGGCAGACAGCCTCCCCCCGTTCATGGATGGCTCGCTGCCACTGCTCCTCAGGGCCACCTGTGAGGCAGGGCCAGGCCTCAGGCTTGTGGGGCTCCTGAATGCCCTGGACTCCAGGGGCAGCCCCCATGCCTTTGCTACAGGATCCAGCCCACCATGGAGACCTGTCCTGGGTCCTGCCAGGCAGCCCCCACCTGGGGCTGGGTGGGCCACAGGAGCTGGTGCCTCCTTGCTGACAGTGACAGGGGTGGCCAGCACCTTCTTCCGCACTTCCTCAGAGCCTGATCCTTCTTGTTTCTTGGAGCGATGAACTCGGGCCTTGTCCTCAGCTTTGGCCAGGCCTGTGTGTATACACAATGTGGATAAGACATATGGACTAAATACTAACATACTTAGTCCCAGAGGTCTCCAACTAGCTGGGGTCTTACCTTTGAGCCCAAAGGTCCCTGAGATAGATGGCTGCTCCCCTGTGAATTTCTTGGGTGTTTTCTGTTTCCTTCCTGACTCAGGGGAGAGAAAATGAGTGCCAAGATTCTGGTCACATAACCATTTAAAGGCCAGAGCCCATCACGGCCAGTTTCCCAGTGCTCTTATCTTACTGTGCTTTGTGCGCTCTGGGTCCTCCTCTGGCTGGGACGTTGGGTCTGCAGGCTGAAGTGCCTCTTTGCCCATTAAAGGCCTACTTCCTGGCAGTAGGGAGCTGTTGCTGGGATCTGTACCCAGCTGGAAAGTCACACTCTGGCCCATGGTGGATGGGCCATACTCTCCATTCTCTGGCCTTGCCTGCTTGGGCAGGATGGGGCAGGTGTCCAAACTCTCTGCAGCCCTGCAAGTGGCAGGTAAGGTGAGGTCCAGGCGAACCCAGTGGCCCTCTCACCCCCCAGGCACATCTGACAACTTACCACCCAAAATGACTTCCTGTACCTTTTTTTATTGCTGTTCTTGCCTGTAGCACGAGGTGTTTTGTTCTCAGATTTGGTCAGCAATACCATTTTGCAGGGTGGTGTGTGTCTGCTGATGGCAATGGGCCTGCTGACCGGCACTGGCTTGCTGACCACAATGGGCCTGCTGACTGGTACTGGCTTGGTGAGTGGCACAGGTTTTGTAACTGTCACAAGCTTGGTGACCGGCATGTGTTTGGTGAGTGGCACAGGTTTGGTGATTGGGATGGGCTTGGTGACTGGCACAGGCCTAGCGACTGGCATGGGCCTACTGACTGTGACAGGCTTGGTGACTGGCATAGGCCTGCTGACTGTGACTGGCTTACTGATGCCAATGGGTTTGCTGACTCCCACTGGTTTGCCAACAGTAACAGGTTTGCTCACTCCGATGGGCTTGCTGACCCCAACAGGCCGGTTGATGGTGACCGGTCGGCTGACTGGGCCAGGCTTAGGGGCAGGCAGGGGATGGTCCATGTGATTCCAAATCCGGTGCTTCTCCAGCTGGGTCTTGGAGGTGAATGCGGCCTCGCAGAAGGGGCAAGGGAAGGCCAGCCTATCTGAGATAGCACCCTGGGCAGGGAGGGTAGGTGTGGGATGGGGCCCCGGGGGCCTCTGCCCAGATGCACTCCCAGGCCTCCTCTTCCCCGACCCACAGCCCCTTACCCCTTGGCACCGCTGATAGTGGTACTTGAGCCCGTAGATGCTGGGGAACTCTAGCCAGCACCCTGAGTTTGGACACTTCACCCTTGAGTGTGCCTTGAATTCATCTTTCCACTGGTTCATCAGGGAGAGCTGGACAGAGAAAAAGGCCAAGCTGCTGACCTGCAGCTACCCAGACTCAAAGCTCCCCGAAACCAAATGAGCCCTTTAATCTCAAGAGCAGAGCAAGTATTCAAGCCATGCTGCAGATCTATGCTGTGGACTACCAACATAGCCCACTGGGACCTTATAACCGTCAGATGTAAGGGCCCTAAGCCACATGCTGAAACAAGCTGGCATAGGATGTGTACAGGGCAGGTAAGGGAAGGGCTGTGGCCTTCACAGGCTGAATAGTATGAGCTCCTCATCCCCCAAGAGAGCTCACAGGAATATCTCGGAGAGCGTGGTTCTCAGCTTTCGGCCTCCCTTTTTTCTTCCCTTCTGTCCTGTCACTGGCAGTGTTTCCGGGGTCAAAGCAGAGTGAGGCCTGGCTAGGGACTGTATGTCCACTGTGGACCACTGGCATACCTGCAGCACAGGAGACAGCAAGGCTCAGTGGCTGCATAACATCACCAACCCCCAAGGGGCAGCAAGCCCAGACCAAGTCTTACTTTACCCATACCAAGGCCCAGGGGCTATAGTTAACCTAAGACAAGAGCCTAAGCCTCAGGCTGTCTAATAATCTCCACCCCATGAAGGTCGTCAGGATACCCCAAAAGGTAGCCTACTCTACTACTGGCTATCTGTATCTTCTAGAATTGATTTCTGCTCTAGCTCCTCACCCAGCTTTGGTGGGTCCTGCAACATGGGAAGCTGGACCTCCTTCCGGCTGCCACCCTTTCCAGATCCACTTTTGCTGGACCCTTGAAGCCGGCGGCCTCCTCCAACACAGAAGGATTCAGTCATCTCTATAGAGCAAGTGCACAGATCTATGAACTGAATGGGCCCAACCCAGGACTTTCACTGGGGCTATCCTAGAGGCCCACAATAGGCCTCTCTAGCCTTGGCCTCCTTTATCTATCACATCAAAAAGTAATGGAGACTTCTAACTCAGGGAAGGGGGTTTGCACAGACAAGGTCTCTCCAAATAACCCAGAAGGCATGAACAGTGTGGAAAGAGTTGAAACTCTTGCTACATTTGACACACTCACCTCACCCTCATCTAGACACATAGTACCACAGTGTGCAAAGGATCAGGTGGAGCCTGTGTTCAGAAAAGGCCTATGCAATAGGAAGGAGATTGACAATATCCCTCTTGGGGGACAATTAACAACAGTAATGGTTGCTGGCAGCCACACCATGATGCCTCAGGGACACCTTCTCCTCAGGTCCCTGGCCCCTGCCCATCCAGATAACATGTGATACTAACTTACCCAGATGGGCACCCTTGACGACCTCTGCATGGACACAGAAGAAAGCCAATGTGGGTGTTGAAGGCCACTTCCTCACCACATGCATCCATCTCTTGTGGGCAAAGTTAAGACCCCCCTGGAACTCCATTTTGGTCCCCATGCTTGCTCAGCCATCCTACCTGCCTGTCTTCTCAGCCTTCTGTGTAGTCAGGGCCCCTCCACCCAGATGGAAGCACTGGTTCAGTCCCTGAGCCACCACAGGCTAGCAGGCCACCATTTCTGCTATTCCCAACTTCTTGGTTCCTTGCCTAGGAACCCACTTCAGCTAAATAAGTTATGGCCAATACTGGCCCAAGCTCCAGAGCCTGCCAGGCTGAAGCCACAAAGCATACTGGGGGCGGGGGTGAGGGCTCCAGGGATCTATTCTGCTTGGGACATCTCATACCCTGAAAACTGAGGGGGGCCCTGAGCATAGCCATGTAGAGGCCTCTCAGAGGCCCAAAACCACAGAAGGGGGCGGTACCAAAGAGCAAGGTTCAAGCCGGTGAGCTTGACAGTTTTTGATCAACTCCAATCAGAGGGGATGTGTAGGGGCTGCTATATCCAGGAGCACTCAGGTTAGAGGTCAGGACAGTCACTGTCCACCGCCAAGGGCAACACCCCATCCTGGGCCTAGGGGAGGGAGGGTCTTAAATCAACCAAAGTTCTCTGGGTGTCCTCGCTTTGTAGCTTCAGAAGGAAACGGGTCATCCAGAATCCTGATAACATTTGAGGCCACGCGTAAAGGGCCTGCTACACCCTTCCAGTCTTTCAGTGCCTGGGCAGAGATCAGAGTTAGGGGTAAAGCACGGTCGCCAGAGTAGGAGGAAAATCCCTCCACCACCTGGGGTCCCCAGGATCTCGCTTGTAGCCTCCAGAGAAGAGGGCGCCTCCGCGGACTCAGGCCACTCGCCTGGCGTGGCCAGCGCTGCCAAGAGGAGCACCTGAAGGCCCGTGGCCACCCACCTGTCACCTGAGGCCGGACACGGGCTGCAGCCTGGCCCGGAAGCGCCGACCGCGGGGGGGCGAAGGCAGTGAACCAAAATGGCGACTTTTTCTGGAGAAGGAGGAGGCGGGAGGACAGCGCCG